GAATATGAATCAAATATGCACTTTTATTCATTTACAATAAACTCATAAAGTACATCATTCTGATTGAAGCTAAGGGCATACAAAACTGTCTAACACATGTAATAGATCCTGAAAGAATATATTTATTTTTCAATGAGCAAATAGAAAAATGTATATCCAAATATTTAGTGTAGGATGTAATCTGCTTCCTTTAGTCTCTATAAGGTTTTGGTAGGCTACAAAGGTAAGACCTATTATTTCCAAATGAATCAAAATGCTTTTATTAAAGTATGGTTCTTTGAGATGCTTATTCTGGTCTCTATGGTGTATCATTGACACATATTTCCTTTTGCGTAACTAGGTGAAATCACGACTAACAACTTATAAGAAAAATGCTGAAGCTATCTCTTCAACGTACTTGAATATACTGAATAAGGTGGTTGCATATGTAATTTATAATTTTTTCCTTTAACCCATACATTATATGGAGATGTAAAGTAATTTTCACTTGTTTCAAAACTTACACAAATACAGATAGATGGAAATCGTCCAAAAGATGTAGTTTTTGGGGAGATAGACTCTCTGCTGCTGCGACTGCAAAAGGATAAGGTGGAGACAAAAAAATTAGGTAATCTTGAAGTCAATATTCAATCATGTAAAATAGAATAACATCATCTAGTAACTCTCTCTTTTCTTTTCAGTAATAAAAATTCTCAGTTAACAATTAAAAAGATGTCTATTAATACATAGAAGGGCACTACTCAATGCTGGTCCCAACTATCTGGAGTATTGGGAGGGGTGAACTGAATTTGGACCTAATATATGGCATTTTTTGAATTAAGTGGTTGCTCCCAGTCTTCAATTTTTCTTTTCATCCTTTTCAGCCTGAGGTTTTTCCATAGTATCAAGCAATGGCCCCTTATCTAATAACAGGTAGCATTTTTATATGTTATGCTTCAATGTTTTCTTTCCTTCAACATGCATCTCATGAATTATTTGTTATAACAACCAAAGAATTGGTGGATTTCGATCCATTGAATGGTAAGTTTGATGTAAGGTTATCAAGTGATTTTTAAGCACATATATGTTTAGTTAACCAGTTTGTAACTCTAGTCAAAGTTATTGTTGATTCATACCTTTTGGAGGGTTATACACTTGATTGTTGTTGTTGTTGTTGTTGTTGTTATTATTATCAACACTTGGACCGGATTAGATGCTCGGATTGTGAAACTTGGGAATTAGAAGCCATTCCAGTTTATTGATATATTGGTTTTTCAAATTTCTAAAAAACTGGCAAACCAGTCAAAACACAGTGAGAACCATTGAAAACCGGCTGGATTTCAATGATTTTCCTGGGTCACTAAATTACCACAAACTTCAAAATGAAAATAAGGAGACTTGACTTGTGAGTTGTGACTTCTTTGTTATGTACGTTAACATGCTACAATTAATCTATTATTCTACCTTGTCTCTTTAATATCTATATTGATTAAATTCATATTCATGAGGGTTTGGCAAAAGTTTTAGTGTCGACTGCCAACTTGATGCAACCCTCCTCCTTTATCCAAGCTTGGGACTAGTAGTGCAAGACAATACTTGAACTGGCAGATTTATCTATATTGATTAAATATGTATGTATTTTTGAATAAAATGTGAGTTAGAAAACCTGAACTCTGGTCACTTGTATCAAAAGTCAAGAAATCAACCATCTAGCCATCACTTACACATATATTGAAAAAACAGAAAATACTATATTATATATGATCCGTTGTCAAATCGTTTGACATGGCGGTCAGACTGTCTGACCCATGACCTGGCAGGCATTTGTTTTAGTTTCCGGTCCATATTACAACATTGATCATCATCATCATTATTATTGTATATTGTTGTTGTTGTTGAGAATAAAAAAATCATGAACCTTGATTTTGTTGCCACAAGGACAAGGAAGGAGTTAGGACAGCATAGACATGGTGTTTTCCCCACTAGATATCAATCATCTGTCTGGATACAGGGGAGGTGTTAACGGTTAGGTGACCTAAGTTAGAGATAGGACTCTATGTTGGCTTTTAAATAGAGACCTAGGAAACTAGATGGTTGGTGCAAATCCATTCATAACCATCTATATGGACTCTTTGAGAACATCACAGTGCCTTCCATTTATAATTTGGCATTTCATGACTTCATATAGAGCAGTATGATATTCTTCTGCTTATTTACTATATAATTCTCCAAGAACTTTAGTTGAATGGTACTTTTATTAAATAAGTCTCTCTAATATTCTTTGATGTGATTTTCATTTTTTATTAATAGTTTGATAGCATTACATGTACATATACATGCCAGTACCAGCCATACCTAAAGTGATTTTGTTTTCTTTGTCAAAGGTCGTTATCCAATGTTGGTCCCAGCTATCTAGGGTCTTGGGGGGGGGATAGACTAGGTATGGTCCTAGCTTTTGGCATTTTTTCACACATAGTGGCCGCCCTCAGACTTGAACCTGCATTCTCATGCTTGCTTGCCTGAGATGGGGTGATGTGAATGGCCCAATTTCCATCTTTTTATTCCCTTTATCTACATGAAGACAAAACAATTTCTTATTGCACATCATTTTCTGAATTAAGACTCAGTTGGAATTTGGGTTTTAGGAGAGGTTTAAGTGAGCTTGAAATTATTTAGGCTCTTTCCCTCGTTGAGTTTATGGAAGGTGTTTGTCTTGGTCATTCTTCCTTGGATACTGGAATTTGGTTTTCCTTTTCATTGGGTTTATTCTATTGTGCTTAATTCTTCAAAACATTGTTTTCAAATTCTTATAATTAGAGATATTTCCTTGTGAAATCAATTTGGGGGGGGGCAGGCACCACTTAAAGTGTTTTTGTTGAGATGTATATATGAAAATAAATACTTGTGAGAATCTCTAGAAGAGAGGGTTGTTTTGGTGTCTATCACTTCATACATGTTTTCTTTGTAGAGCAGGCTGAAATTTAACTTACTACTTGCTAATCTCTTTTCCTTTTATATCGATCATTTGGGAGTTTTTTTTCTTTCCTCTTTTTAGATGTAGGTGGTATCCTATAGGGTATGTGGGAAGTATGTTCAACAGCTTTTTTTCACCAAGAAAAATGAGGGATAAAATAATGTTTAGGGAAAACTTACTTTGAATGGTTTGGGAAGAAAGGAATGCTAGAATCATTATGGATAAAATCTATACAAAAGATGCACCAATTGAAAGCATTTCTCTAAAGGTGCCTTGAAAATTGTTCAAATCATTCTCTACTAATGATATTATTTAAAATTGGAAAACTGTAGCATGTTCATCATTGGTAAAAAGTGATCACTATCTGATCCTGATCCCTTCAGCCATTAACCTCATAAAGTTAAACTTTGATGGCTGTAGTTTGGCTAATCCAGGGGATCTCAAGGAATTGACATTGTGTTTAGAGATACTTATGGAATGTATTATCATTCCATTAGGGCAAGATTGATGGCTGTGTTGGACAAGCAAGAAGGGAGTGAAGACCAAAAATAAAATTCAGAGAGGTGATGAGGAATAGTTGTGTTGTTAAAGAGTGGGGGAAGATTAGGAAAAGCAAGTTGAAAATGACTCTAGGTTCTCAAGGAGAAGAGGTTCGGTTAGGCTGGGAAGCGGTGGAAGAAGAGATTGAAGTCGATGAAAGGGATGATAAAGACCAAGAAGATAAGGAGGTGGTTCTTGATCAAGTGAGGAAGGTGGAGAGCAATTTGCACGAAAAGCGTTTTTGGAATTGGAAAAGAATATGCCTATGCATTCTGTACCATTGGAGTCTTACTGGAAAGGTGTTTTGGATCTTGGGTGATGGTTTTAGAATGCTGATTGGGTGTTTTCTGCAAAAGGCTAGAGAAGGGATCTATTTTTGTAAAAGGTTGGGAAAGAGCTCAAAGTTGTTCTTTAAAATATTTGTTAGGAGGGTGTTGAGCTTTTCTCTTTTTTCTTCTGGGTGATGTCTTATCACCTTTGTTTGTACTTCTGTCTTTCTTTTGAATATATTTTTCTTTTCATTTATTACCAAAAAAAGTGTTGTATGAGCAAGGAGTTGGGGAGTCTTTACAGTTTACATATAATGGTGGAAGGGGATTCAAAGTAGTAGTGGGTTGGTTTAAGCAAAATAGTACGGGCCCATGGTTACATAGGCATGTAATTAAGGTAAAACAAGTGGCTGAGGAAATAAATGTTACTTCTAAAGATCATCCAATAGTATGTTTGACATGCTGGCAAGACAAGGAGTGAACAGGGATCAATTCTACTGTTTTTTTGGGAGGGGGTTAATTTTCAAGGGGGAATTTTGTAACTAATGAATTAAAAAGTAGCAACTGAGGGATGCATAGCAGTGCTAGCCAATTCTGAGGCATGCCTGGCACAACATGTATATTTCATTTTCAATTATTTATAAACTGATCAGTTACTGATAAAAAATATCTCCTATGATTTTGGAATTGCAGTTTTATGTAATATTTGTTAATCCTTGTATCTATGGATTTCAATATTACTTTGCGTTTTCCATATGGGATGGTCACTATGTATTACACAACATTTTTGGCAATACTGAGGGTGGGCCTTGGTGCAATGGTTGGGTGCTCCATTGTAACCTGGGCTACCAGGGTTCAAATCTTGGAAACAACCTCTCTGTACGTGCAGGAGTAAGGCTGTCTACATCTGTCCCTCCCCAAACCCCGCAATGGTGGGAGCCTCATGCACTGGGCTGCCCTTTTAGAACTTTGAATTTTTAAACCATCAAATTTATCTCATTTTGCCTCTTTTTTATTTAGGAATATCAATTCCTGAAAGTGACATTCGTTCAAGTTTGGTGTCTTCAAGTCCGGTATGTAATTTCTTTTCCCTTGTTAATTGGATGGTCAGTAATACTCTGCTTTCAAATATTCCCATATGTCAAATTGTATAAAATGAACCCGTAACTCCCACAGCTTGGTTTTTCCTTATTTTTGAAAGCTTCTTCCAGGATAATTGGAGAGGAATTCCTACTCGATTGAATAATATTCCTCATTCTAGAGAAATAAGAAAGTATTTCTATGATGATGTGCTACAAGCTACCCAAAGGGCCATTAATGATGGAGGAATTCGATTGAAGGTCAGATATTTCTCACCTTGGCTTTTAGATGGGAAGCCAAACTACTGAATCTGTGATTCCATTTAGTAGTTACCCTTGATTTTTCAATGTTAGTAGTTCATTCTATTTATTTTGTTAAATGCATTGGGTTCCTCATGGTACTCTTTCATGCATGTACCTTCTATGAATGATAAGTTTTGAGGCTATTACATATAAAACATGTAATCATCTCAAGAATTATCAAGCTATGCTTTGACTGAATAATCATGTTCTATAATTTGGTTAAAACAAATATGTGATGTAGGATAGATAAGAACTCCCCAGCACCAGATACAACTATTTCCCCTAGAATGACACCTCCCATAAACTCAAAACTCTAAAGGAGGGCACTGGCATAGAAACTAATCCCATACTATCAATTTCCAGATGTTACAGTAATGCATCACACTGAAGCCACAACTAACCATGGGAACAACCATGAAGCATGGACAATCTCAAACACCACAAAATTGTAACCTTTTACTCCAACCCCCTACAAGCCCCTAAAATTACAATAGAATCAATTACATTACTTCTCTGGACTTTATCCCCACTAGAAAAACTTGTATCCTTAACTTCATGTATTGAGGGCCCTCTTTAGCATACCTTCAATCTGAAACTGAGTTCAGATCTCACACTTTCAACATTAGGGTCAAAATGACATTATTATATAACTCCTTGTTTTATCCCTTTTATCTGCCTGCTTTGAAAATCCAGATGCACGTTGATCCCCTTCGGTGAAGCATGCTGCCGGCTTCTAACTCCAGACTCCTAAATCACTTGGAAAATCTAGTTGCTAATTCTACATGTATTGTATGAGGATCATGCAATATACATTTTCTTTTCTTTTCTTTTTTTTTTGGGTGAGGAGGGGCATTGAAACTGGTGATATGTGTAACCCCAGTAAAATAGAAAACCTAACATTGTCCATTTTACTCATAGGTGAAAAATGGTAATAATTTTTTATTTTAGTAGTATGGCCCATGCAAGTAAGCAAAGCTGATAAGGATGAGTCTTATATACTGGTTTATGGTTGTTATTATGTTCCAATCCATACTCAGTTGTTTCAAGGAAATCCTCCCTCCCCTCAATTAGTTTATAATTTATGAAAATTCTGCTATCAGGAGTCTTTTAAATTTAGTTTGAGTTTACATGACAATTTGTATTGGCAGGTGGAAATTAGCATTCCAGAGCTGAATCCAGAAATGGTAGGACAGTTTATCTGTTTATTTTCTTTTTTTTTTCTCTTTCTTTCTTTGGTGGAGAGGAAGGAGGGCCTTGTGAATTAAAACACCTTATCATGCACAGGATGTTTATCGAATTGGTACTTTAATGGAACTTGTTCGGGTTCTTGCTCTTTCATTTGCTGATGATGGAAAACGTGTGAAGGTATATATAGTTGTTCCTTGACAGTGAAATCATGGATCAATGGAGAAGCAGTTGATAGTTTTTGATTGATGAAGCTTTTACCTTTCAGGTTTGTGTTCAAGGATCAATGGGAGAAGGTGCACTTTCTGGGATGCCATTGCAGCTTGCTGGAAGTCGAAATATTTTGGAGTTCATGGATTGGGGGGATTATGGTGCCAAGGGGACCTTTATCAACATTGGTTCTATAGGTTTGGGACCCAGATTTTATGTGAAAATTTTAATGTAGTTTAGTTTATACTAATCATAATTCATTTCTCTTAAACATGTTAATTCATGATGGATGTTTGCTTCATTCCCAACATTCCTTTTAAATGGATAACTAAGAAAATGTGCATATATTATGGATATTTTCCTTGTCCAAAAATCAATGTAGCATAAATGTTTATAATTGTAGGTGCGAAAGAGGTTAGTGAACAAGATGACATATTTATTCTGGTGGCACCTCAAAATGCTGTTGGAAATTGTATTATTGATGTGAGTAACTTTCTCTCCATAATGATTTTTGGAGTATGCGCACTACATGTTCTAGTTTTGCCTTTTTTTTCCCTTTTACCAATTGTAAGGTTGAATATGCAGGATCTAAAAGCTATGACTGATGCTGCTGGTAGCAAACCTGTTATTCTTATCAATCCAAGGCTCAAGGTTGTATTTCTTACAGTATTTTAATCACTTAACTTTATATTTCATGCATTATATGAATACCTTTATCTGTGCATATACATTTGTATGTGTGTAAATGTATCAAACATGCATGTGATAGTTGGTGCAACCTAAAGTGCATCTCAATATAAAGATCAATCTACAAACAACCATAAGATCATCATCATTATCTAAGCCTTGTCCCAATTATATGGGTCAGCTACATAAATCTTGTTTCACCATTCCTTTATGTTCAGTGATATTTTCTTTTTGAAAAGGTTGTAATCATTCATGGAGAGAGAGAGACGAGAGAGAGAAAGAGAAGAGAAGAGAAGAGAGAAAAGAGGAGAAGAGGAAGATATGATTGAGAGACACGAAAAAAACTATTCTGGCTACCGCCAGTTTAGTTATTTATATTAACTTAATATAAAAGGAATGGGAGATTACAAGTATGCCCCTGGTGGCACTCCTAGTAACAAACTAATAAGAAAGAAAGAAACTAACTGGCTGACAACATCTTAAGCTGACAACACACTAACAGCACTCCCCCTCAAGTTGGGCTGAATATGTCTATCATGCCCAGCTTGTCACATAACTCATTGTTCCGCGAGTATGGAAGTCCTTTTGTGAGGACATTAGCGAGTTGTTCCTTGGAGTTGACATAAGGGATGCAAATTTCCCTTTTTTCCAATTTTTCCCTTATGAAGTGTTTGTCCACCTCGATGTGCTTGGTCCTCTTATGTAGGACAGGGTTGTTGGCGATGTTTATGGCTTCCTTGTTGTCATAGTAAAGAGACATAGGATTATGAACAACAACTCCAATCTCCCCTAGAAGATTTTTTAGCCAAAGGACTTCAGCCACCCCATGTGTCATAGTTCTATATTCAGCTTCAACACTTGACCTTGCTACCACACTTTGTTTCTTGCTTTTCCAGGTCACTAGGTTTCCTCCCACAAATGTGCAATACCCACTT